CTCGTGAGGTCGCGATCGAAGATCGCGGCAAACTTTCAGCAGGGAGAGCACGTTACGCACGTAAACCAAGTCGATGCACGCATCGATGCTCCTCAGACTCGTGTCGTCTCGTTTACGAGGCAAATTAATGCACTCATCGCAACGTAATGCATTCGGAGTGGGAAGCGAGGGGGAAGGAAAGCAATAAGAAAGAAGGAAGGGAAGGAGGAAAGAAAGGAACTACGTGATCAACCGCCACGAAGACACGAGACTCCGACGGAAGATTAGCCGGGGCTCAAGCTGACGTTCGAGTGTACCTCTTATCCCTCTACACACTACCCTCTTATCCTCTCATCCCTATAATAAGAAGTTCGCCCTGTCAAGTGAATCTCGCCCGACGTGTCAATCTCGCCTCTTCCCTTCTCGCCGGCCCTCGCCAATACGGCAGCGCGACAAAGGGGGCTCTTTGGCCGGATGAGTTTTCAGGTCGTGAAGCGCCACGAGGAAAGCAGGTATCGATGACACTGACATTTCCCATGCCGTCCTCCGCCGTCGCCCCACGGGGACACACGCGCGGGACGAGCGGGGGAGCGCGGCTCGCGGCGCGAGAGCGATCTGATCTCTCTCTCTCTCTCTCTCTCTCTCTCTCTCTCTCTCTCTCTCTCTCTCTCTCTCTCTCCCCCTCCTTCTCTCTTCCTCTTCTCTGGAGCCTCCCCCGTCTCTCATGGCCCTACCGTACCAATACGAAGACGCGAGTAAGGACTAATAACGGGGTCCCAATAAGTCCCATTCTGATGCTTTGTGAAGGCGAGCTCCGCTCGGTAGCCGTCTCATGCTTCGTCTCCCTTCGACCCGCCACCTCTCGCCCCGACTAGTCCCTCGCTTCTTTCTCTTCCTTCTTTCGACCGGCGCGACCTGCTCCTTCCACCTCGCCTCTCCTCCCACCATATCATGGCTTTGGTACACGCTGCAGGCACCATCGTAGAGGGCTATTGAGGGCTTAAGCTGTCGGCGTGTGGCTCGCTACATCCTTTTCATCTCCGCCGCCACGACAAAGCCGCGAGCGGAGCTCGCGGCTGCAGCAGCAGCAGCAGCAGCAACAGCAGCCTTTACCGGTTCCTCAGCACTCGGAGCCGTTTCAGAGTGAAGAGTATCGGTGCTCCGAATTGTATTACACGCGAGGAGAGCGACCGGGCGGCCTAGTAATAGATGCAGCTTCTGCTTCAAGTGCGTTCTATTTCGGCGGCGACAGCGTACAGAGCCTTTTAACGGCCGTCATTACCTCCGGGATAGCACGGTAATTATAGCGTTCGGGAGTATGTTTACTGCCGCGTTACATTTTACAATCTGTCCGTCTAGTTGGCGCACACAAGCTGCAATAGTCACATCCAGCTAATAAGTCGAGTCGTTACGAGCTACCAGCGAGAGTCTGCTATAATCGTCATTCATAATCGAAGCGTGCGCTTCGATCCGCGCTGAGAAACGAGCCGGCCGACTCGGCCTTGGACAACTTGACGGTGCCTAATAAAATCAACGGGATTATACAGTGCCAATGAATTGCCCCCGACGCTTTATCTCCGCGCCGTCGATCGCGGGGGTCGTAGCGTCGGTCGCAACGATTGACCCAATTGCTGAATCGGCCGTCGTGCTCGCGGGTCAACTGCTTCGTTGACCGAACAGTCTTGCCGACCAATGACTCTCCCTCTCCTTTTCTCTCTCTCTCTCTCTATCTATCTATCTATCTATCTATCTATCTATCTATCTATCTATCTCGGTGTGTCACGACCGTTCTCCGTTACTTCCCGGAATAGTAGTCGAGAGGTGGGACTGGTGAACTAGTTCGCTCAATGACGGAAACGGTGGTTTTCGCGGAAGCAACGCGTTGTCAACGATGCGGATTCAGGTTCCGAGACGGAGGAGTCAGCCGCGGGGTGACAAGGATTTCATTCGCGACACGGCAGACAGAGATGAGTGAATAGACTTCAGGAAAAGTGTGGCGCGAAAACGCGCAATTAAATGCGACGATGGTTGCGTAACAGTCTCTCCCCGCGCCGGTCTCAGCTTCGCTCCTCACCACTCGCGCTACTTTCACGCGCGTCGTCTCTTTTTTCTTTTTCCCCTCGGAGCGCGGCGATCCCCGGGAATGACGCGGTCATTGATGGGATCCCGGTGATAGAGACGAGGGCGATAATAGCGGCGATGAAAGAGAGCGAGAGCGGGGAAAAAATAAAGGTGAGCCGAGAAGTAAAAATATTGCAGGAAGAGTCGACAGCAGAAGAAGTCGTCTCGTGTGGTCATATCATAACCGGCGGGCCAAGCAGCGTGAGTGGTTTTAAGCGGCGATGAAAGGGAGGCGGCAGGAGGGGAGAGGGGAATGCGCCTCGGAGTACACGGCTCAAGGAGGGCTGGCGCGCGGAGAGAGGAGGTTCAGCGGGGGTCCGTATTACAGCTCATTTAGCAGCGGGGTCCTGCGCCCCTTTCTTCGGCGCCCCGAGAGATCCGCTCGGTCCAGAACAGGTCCGCGGACCTACGGCAAAGATGAGCCCGTTTCGTTCCCATAGAGTCGGACCTCCTGGCACCTAGAATCCCCTCCGCCCGTTAAATAGCCCCTCCCGGGACCTGTACCTCCTCGTACCTGTGCGGAGGCTCCGTTCGTACGCGTAACACGCAAGATGCGCTACAGATTCTCTACAGCGAGACGACCCGCACAAATTACGCGAATCTTCGCGAATTGAAAAGATAGACGCGTGCTCGGCCGTAGCTCACGAGCCGGGGGAGAGCCGCGCGATGCGCGGGGCGAGGGGAAGGAGAAGGAGAAAATTTTACAGCCGCGGTCTCGAGATCTCATGCCGCGAGATCACCAAGCTCTCTCGCGGCTTCTGAGGGACTCGCGACATCGCGGCACCGAGACTCTCCACCTCCTTCTCTCGTTTGTCATTCGAAGCGGGAACGATATTTTGAGTGACCGAGCAGAACGGAGAAGCCGGTAGGTAGAGCAGAAAGGGAAGCCGGGGCAGGGAGGGAAGAACGGTGTTATCGACTCGTGACCAACACAGACGCGAAATAGCCAGTAATTTATGGGTGAGACT